GGAGGTGGGGGGAGTGTGTTGGAAGCCATCCCACCTCCTCTCCTACACCTGACAGGCAGCTGCCTGTCCAGTGTAGGAGAGGGAAGGGGGAGGAGTATTAGAAGTCATTGTGGAGGTGGGGCTGCACTTGACAGACAACCGCGTGTTATGTGTAGGAGGTGGGGGGAGTGTGTTGGAAGCCATCAGAGAGGCTGGGCCAGCAGCTTTCCCTCACCTCACAGGTGGTTCTTGGCCTCTCCTGATTTCCTCAACTGTCCTTAGCTCTCTGCAGTCCCCTGTAACTGTTGGGGGTTTTTACCTCAGAACACTGAGCTCTGCAGCTGACCAATCAGAGAGTGGGGGGTGCAGAGAGGCAGCTGCCTGGCAGCTGCATAGGAATCAATGGGGTGAGCACATTTCCCCCCCCTTCCCCCCCTTCAAATTTCTAAAAAACCCTTCTTAGTGAGCACCTACGCCACGGTGTGAGCGCTCTCCCCGAGTTTGGTGTTTCTAGGTCCAGCGGTTTGGCCTGGACATTGATTTTACGGTGAGGGGACTTTCTTTTATATATATAGATGTACAATACCTGGTCTGTTAATAAAAAAATAAAAATCTAATCAAGGGCTGTTAAACCTCCATCTCTTCTGCTAATTGTTTTCAACTTCCTGGTTTTTTTCCTCGCACCATATAAAGCTGTTAACAGATTCTTGCTGGTTTTTCACTAACCTGCCTGTTGGGGTATTTGGCAATAAATAAGTGTGCCCCACTCTCCGTGCAGAGTCTGGGGAGCCAAGCTCACCTTCTGGAGGAAGACCATCTGCCAGTCCAGGCCCTGGAAGAACGGGCTCTCCTTCACCTCAGCCGCCCTGCCAAAAAGACCGTAACAGACAACGGGAAGCCTTCCTGTCACCACTGAACTATCGAAGGGAAGGGAAGCTCGGAGGCAACTGCTCCACCATGAATAGCAAACACAACCCGAATGCGGCCTTTGCACTTGTCTAACTGTTGTGCAATTACCCTTTTTTTTTTAGTTCAAAACACAGTGAGATTTAGCTTGAAGTAATCACTGTTAAAACTATTGGACTCTGCCTTCTGTATTCACTTAGCATGCTGAGCCTTATTTGCTCTGTAAGAACAGGGGCTTTATTTTTATTTTTTTGCAGCAAAGTGATTTCTGTAGCATTTTAAAGGTAGAGCCGTTGGTGTGCAATACCACAACTTATGATTTATTTATTTATAAACTGGATTTATAAATCGCTCAGTCCCTGAGTACTCAGTGCTCTGAGCAATGAACAACGATAATAAAACATATAATCAAACTATACCAATAGTTTAAAAGCTAATTAAAACAATTTCATAGTTAATGATATTCAGATGGCGTTAGTATATCCAATTTAGTACATCCAACTGCAAAAGAAGAGCAGAATGTATGGTACTGGGTGCAGAACTCAGTTGAGAAACTCAGCTATCATTTAGAAACTAGGCAAGTGGCTAGTCCTTATGGCTTCCAAGGTAAATCTGAAAGTTGTGGCCAATGCCAGTTTGCATCTCAGAAGCCAGAGGAGTGACTGATTAAGATTTCCAGTGGTTAGGGTGGGGTTGCAAGCAGTGCTCCCTCTAAGCTGTGGAAAAATTCTACTTTGTGAGCTACTGGCATTAAAGTTGTGAGTGAACAATTTGGCTACTGCGTAAAATAGTTTGCTCTGCAGCCATCCTTCTTGAGTGAAGACAAAGATGTGTGAGCCGGAAGCTAAAAAACTGTGAGCTAGCTCACACTAACTCATCTTAGAGGGAACACTGGTTGCAAGTGAATACCAAGGCCCAAGTAAATGATGCAAAAACAGTTTACAAAACCCTGCAGAACAGATAATGCAAAAAAGAGAAAATCATGAAAAATCTGCTCAATTTGCATAGTTTAAGTGAGTCACAGACACCAGCTTTTCTTAGCACAGAACTTTGTTTGCAAGTGTACAGAACTGTGTCAACACAGAATCACTGCAGCACTACTGAACAGCTAAAGTGCCTCATCCTAGCATGAACGTGCTTAGACAAGAGACTTCTCCATCAGATGCCTAATGTGGACAAAGAAGACTGTGACAGGGAGCTAGTGTGGTGTCAGATGGGAATCTGGGACACGCAGGTTCAGATCCCGACTCTGCCATGGACGCCTGCCGGGTAATGTTGGGCAACTCACTTGAAACCTGGGGAGGGTCACAGGGGCATGAGGGAGGTTTTGCAGCCTTAGCCACAGCTAGAAGCTCCATACAGCCCTCCTCCGGCTTCTCTGGTGGCATGTTGTGTAAGTACTGAAGGGCAAAAGCGGGTTTATTTTAAACAAATGAAACTGACAATTCTCTATATTCTGCATCCTATCTAAGGTTCCATGCTGAGCAAACTATTAATGGAAAACACAGAGCCCAGCTTACAGGAGGCCTGTGCTGCTGAAGTATACTCCTTTGGTCTCTCACGACATCCCTGCTCTGGTAATCCAAACTGAGTTATCTGATTGTGGCCCAACTCTGAACCTGAGCAACAGGGCAAGTGGGAAGCTTGGGGAAGCTAAACTAGCAGCAGAACTCTGGAGGACGTTTTTTAGAAGTTCCTTCTGTAGATAAAAGTGGCAGAATTTGTATAGAATCCATTATACTAGTGCAAAATATCAGCAAGAAATCTAGCACAGACACATTTTAAAACTGTCTTTGTTGTGGTAACTACAGTTATCTTTCCAGATTTTTTTCTTAAATACAAAGAGTGATCAAAACAGCCCACGTTCCAACCTATCTTCCATGTAGTCAGCCACCCCTTGTGTAAAAACATGGGTAACCCTAAAACCCCAGCTCACTCAAGCACCCTCCTACAACCCAGTCAACTCACCCACGGCCCATGCAACCCAGGCGACGATTGACATCTCGCTGGAGCAGCCCCTCCAACAGTAAGCGCAGCTCAGATGAAAAGGAGTCTGGCAGTTCCACAGCCTGTGTGGGGATGAGCAGAAGAGAACGGGGAGAGGTGAGGGAAGCAGAGAGATCCCACCCGGGTGCTGCATGGAGAAGTCCTGGAGCCAGGAACAGTATCCCAGCAGCTCTGCCTCCCGGGCATAAGCTGTGCCAAACAACGGGGGCCATTTATCCATCCAAGGTGCAGAAGGGACAGGAATCCCTGCTCCCTGAGCTCAAGGAGATTCCATGGGAAAGACTGCAGAATCCTTGCGGACGATAGCCATGCAAGAACAATCCCAGGAGGGGGAGGGGGAGGGAGGCGAGAGTCATGGGACTGAAAGCGTCCTCAATCATTGTCAGCAGGAGGAAAGTGGTTCTTTAACCGCTATCAGCCTCAGCCATTCACAAGTGCCCACTCTCTGTGGTCTCCAGCTGGCGGCACACAAGCATGGTTCCATTTCCTCCATAACTAGCTTCAGACAGTAGCTGCACTATGATGCAAACATCCAAAGCTGCCCTCTTCTCCACCTTGCCTTCTCCCTTCTCCCCACTCCCCTCGGCTTCATCATGGTGCCTCTAAAAAAGAGCCTGTCAAGCAGCTGATGCATTGTGCCTGGAGCCTATCATGATGATGATGGTGGGAACTGTATCACTCTTCCCTTTTCTTGCCAGGATTATCCAGCTCTATCCAGTACAAGGAAAGGGCCATGGGAGGGAACCTGCGCCCTCAAGAAATCCAGTGCGGCACAGGAGCTCCAGTGATAAGCCTGGAAGACAAATGCCAGCCATGGTCTTCTAGAAGCAGCAGCCCTCCAGGGTAAGGAGAGATTTCACTCTCTGTTTCCTAATGTTAGTACTTAGGGTCTCCAAACGAGATTGATTGGAAATAGGCGGGACACAGACAAAAGGAAGTATTTTATACACAGCATGGTTAATTTATAAAAGTATAAATCCTGACAGAGGATATCGCAGTGGCCAAGTTTTTGCCGTCACCGGCAAACTGCTGCCATGTCAGAGCAACAGCAGCAGCAGCAGCAGTTTGCCGGCGACGCAGAAGCGGTGGAGGCTTCGGAGCGGAGGAAGAGGAAGGGTGAGCGGAAGGGTCTGCAGGCAAGCCGGGTCCCCCCGGGAGTGCAAAGGGGCCGGCACCCGCCTGTGCATCTGGCTCAGTGCGGCGAGTGGGGTTTGGGGGGGGGGACTGAGGGCCGCTTCACTGATGAGTTGCCCTTTCCTTTCCTTCTCTTCCTCCTCCTCCTAGAGGTCTTAGGATGGCGGGGTATTGTGGAGGCTACCACAGAGGTAGGAAGGACACATGAGCTCTTTTTGTTTCGGGATCTGCTGGTCCGTGTGGTTTGCCAAGGGAGCTGGGAGGGGGGGGCGCCCATTCTCCAGCGCCTTGGGTGTCGGGTGGGGATTGCAGCAGCTCAAAGAAAGGGGGGGGCGCTCCGGAGGTTTCCAGAGGTCTTTCTCTGCCCGCGCGGACAGGCAGAGAAAGGCTGCGGGGCGGGGGGGGGCGCTCCGATGGTATCCAGAGGTCTTTCTCTGCCCGCGCGCCTCGGTTTGCACGGGCAGAGAAAGGCTACGGGCAGGAGGGGGCACTCCGGAGATCTGTGCTGGGGTGAAGGCGCACGTGCCGACAGAGAGGACTATGCACTCTAGTGAGCTGGATCTAGCGACCCAATCGCACAAGGGTTGTGGATTTTCCCACTTTCTGTTCCCCTGAGCAGTCCTCTACACCCCTGGGAAATTTGATTCTTTGGGTCATGGGACTTATGTGGAGTAATAGCCACAAGAGTCATATGGGCTGCAGTGAGGGTCCACCCCCCCCCCATCTTCCTTCAGCACAGTTCTAATGACCCAAAAGGCAAGAGGGGCAATTTTGCTCTCCCCCCACCCTCCTCACTGCATCTTACTGACCTGCATGGCTATTACTCCACAGGGGTCCCAAGACCCCAGAAATCAAAGTTGCTAGAGTCAGAAAGGATTGCTTTGGGAGAGAGGAAAGTGGGGAAGATCTACGGCCACTAGTATACTCCACTGATGGATCATGGATCCAACCCAGTACCCTGTTGTTCTTTTTGTATTCCCCAAATGCTTCCAAATTCTCAGTACACAGAAGTACATAAATGCTCCATGTTCACTTTGCCCAGTCTATTCACTGTACACAATTAAATGATATCCCTTCTTTTCTGGGAGAGTCCCCATCAATTTAAGTAGTATAGTCATCTAGAAGCTATCCCAATAATATCAGTGACTATTTTTAGGCTTGTCTGAAGTACCTTTTGTAGATCTGCTATACCCTGAAATAAGGTGGTCAGAACTTCCACCTGCACAGCACATAATGAGCATCTAAAGCTAAACAACCCAATCGGGGGGGGGGGGGAATACAGTGGTATAAATCCTTGCACAAGAACAAAGAAAATGGGAGATTTCCAGTGCAGTAGTAACATTTCCCAACTATAAATTGTGCTTACATATTAGAACCCATGACTACAAAGGAAATGTGGAAGCCCTTTAAAGGTAAAAGGTTTCCCTTCCTTGAAAGCCAGTCATATCCGACTCTAGGGTTGTGGTGCTTATCTCCGTTTCCAAGCCGAAGAGCCCGCGCTGTCCAAAGACTACTCCGTGGTCATGTGGCCAGCATGACTAGATGCCGAGGCGCACGGAACACTGTTACCTTCTTCCCACCGAAGGGGTACCTATTTATCTACTTGCCATTTCCTGCTTTTGAACTGCTAGGTTGGCAGGAGCTGGGGCCAGAGACGGGAGCTCACTCCGTCACGCAGGTCTCAAACTGCCGAGCCACCAACTCTACAGTCTGCAGCTCAGCATCTTAACCTCTGAGCTACCAAAAGCAAAATCCCAGTTGAGGGTACCACCGCTTCGCACTTACTCTCCCTCTAACAGCACTTAAGATTTTTTCTGCAGCAGCAACAGCAAAGAGGAACAAGAAAAAGTTGTTAAACCCCAGTAATTTCTTCCTCTCTGCTATAGCAATAAGCATGTCTGAGCTACCAGAAGATGTGCAGGTTGGCAGGTCACAGTGCTGACCAAGGGACGCAATGCAGTTGGGTAAACTGGGCCAGAGAGAAAATATTAAAGGTATAAGGAAGATATGTCAGACTAAGACATCCATGAGCCATGAAGAGAAACTACAGTCGTACAATGGAGCAGAGAGAACACATGGACAGACACGATCCCGTACCCAAGAGCAGATTCCAAGCAAATCCTCTGGAGGGCTCATCTGCCCAGAGAGTCCCGTGGCCACCTTGACAACGCTTGCATAACTGGACCTGCCCACCACTCACATCACTTGAACTGCTTCTTCTTACTGTCTCCAAACTGTCTGGGGAAGGGAATTCCTTTCTTATTCTTTATACGGTACTAAAAATAGAGGATGCCCTGACCTAGTCATATTCTTAAGGCAAACGGTATAATATCACATCTATCAGACCCCCGTCTCCTCACACATGCATTTACACCCTGTGCCTTTCAACTAACCTGATAATAGAAGGTGCTGAAATGCACAGAACTAGGGATGACTCAGATCATGTAGAATGATATTGATCCAGGGGATCAATATGTCAAAATGCTTCCAGGGTTGGGGGGGGGGAGGGAGAAATGACTACGTTAAAAAGCGGTGTAAGTAAATAAGTAACCAATGTAAATAAGCACAGAAACATCTGTGAACGAAGGACAAAAGTTTTCAAGCGGGGAGGGGACAGAAAACTCCAGGGTTTTTGAGACCGAAAGGAGGGAGAGTAACTTGGATCAGCACAAGGTAGATTCAAGACCAATACTTGAGCTTGGTGAATAAAGAACACTTACCATGGTGAGTGTCATGCGGTCAATCTCGTGTTTGTCTTTAGTCTTGTGCTGCCGAAAGGGACTGTGTCTGAGGTAAGAAGAAAGGGTCAAAGCAGACTTCCTCTAGCATCACCCTGCCTTAAAGTCTGTCCTTCTCTTGTTGCTCTCACACCCATGCTTCAGAAGGGCCAACCCCTCAGTCATGCCCCCCATTACCCTCTTCAACTGTCAGTCATACCTTCCCCCCCCCCAATCATCCATGAACCTTCCTCCCCATCTCCGGCTCTTCCCGCCCTCCCATGAGATCCACTTACCCCCTCAGTAGTTTGAAGAGCATGCAGCCTAGAGAGAACCAGTCAGCACTGCTGTCATAGGCCACGCCTTTCTGCAGAACCTCTGGGGCCATGTACCCATGCGTTCCCCTGGAGATACACGGTAAACAAAGAGTCAGTGAAAGCAGACTACCTCTGGAAGGATCACCACAAAAGAGATCCACAGGACTGTGACTAAAAAACCCCAAACATTAAAATGGAAGGGATTTGCACTTGAGAATTTAAAAGCACATGTGATTTTTATCTAGAACTGGAACCCAATTCATTCTTAGAATTTTAATTACAAGAAGGAGCTACGGAAACTCTCTCCCTATGAAGCCTTCATGGAAGCAGCGTTAACTGGTGACTGGGGGTGAGGAAGCGACTCTATGTCATTCCACTGTCTCCCTGCGGGGTAGTCACCACAGCAAATGTTCACTCTTTGTTGGGGAAAACCCTATAGGTAGGCTTCAGTTCTGTTCACGGTCGGATTCTGGCATCGCCGTGGCTTGGTCTGCTCAACATCTAGGCACTGGAAGGTCACATTTCCATAGCGGCTCTGTGTGGAACACTCAACACATAGATTTGAAGACACTCTGATTTTGTGGCACACAGCTGGCATATGTTGGGCCTCCACACATCATGTGCTGCACTCAGAGCACACATAGGCTTGCACACAGACATGCTGGAGTGATCTCATCCCCGGCCATGTATGGAAACCAACAGCTGCATCAAGCTAGAGAATCTGAGAGTTAGTGAACTTCCAGCAGCCCACGTTACAGCTGAGGATTCTAGAAGGGAGACTCTCCCTACATCCATCAAGCACGGATAGGCCTGGCTGGGTCAGTTAAAGATCAGCATCATTGGCTGGAGGAATGGACTCCTTTCTGGATACTCACACACTGGCATGAGGCTTCTTCTTGGAGAAATCACAGGCAAGACCCAGGTCTGAGATACGGACATGGCCAAACTCATCCAGCAAGATATTGGCTGGCTACAGAGTCGGGGTGGGGGGAAGAGAGACAATGAACACAAGTTACAGGGAAAGCAGAAGCTGGTGTGGTGGTGGTTAAAGAGTCGGACCAGGACCTGGGATGACTGGGTCTGAATCCGTGCTCTGTCCTAGAAGATCACTGGGTGAACGTGGGCCCATCCCATCCTCCCATCCTAACCCTACGTCACACAATCGTTGTGAGGACAGGACAGCGGAGGGGAGAATAATGTGATATGCCACTTTGGGTCCCAATTAAGGAGAAAGGTGATGCAAAGCACAGTGGAGATGAAGAGGACTCACTACTCCAGCCTACCCCGAGCCTTCTCTAGCATACTAGATTGCCAGGCAGCAACACAGTTTGGCCTTCTGCACGCAGACGATGTTTTGTGGCAAACAAGGCAGATAACCCAAGGAACAAAGTAAGAATAGGTTCGAATTCTTCAGTTCTGAAGAAACAGATGACATAATCTGCCTCCTACAGAAGTGGGCCGCTACCCCAGACGAGTCATAAAGGACACAGCATGATGCCAGCTCGTAAGAAGGGGCTTTAAGTTTGAGAGGTCCTCAAAATCTCAGAGCAGCCCATAAATGTGTGTGGCAGGGCAGAGTGGGGGGAAGGGTGGAACTGGGGACCTCTCTGCAGAAGACTTCTAACGGTCCCCTTGGAGGAAAGGAAACACCTGTGATGGTGATGGTGATGTGGATGGAGCGGGTCAGTGGGCTGGAGAGGATAGATGGGCTCACCTTGAGGTCTCGGTACACCACAAAGCGGTTGTGCATGTGTTCCAGGCCCAGAATGATCTCTGCGGCATAGAAACGCATCTCAGCTTCTGAGAAGACCCCATGCTGGGACAGGTGGTAATGTAGGTCGCCCCCTGCAGGGAACAGAGTAGAACACCAAGTGATGATGCAGACATCTTGTCCCCACTGGTGGACCTCCTGATGGCACTGGTATTTCTGGCCACTGTGTGATACAGAGTGTTGGACTGGATGGGCCACTGGCCTGATCCAACGTTGGCATCTCTTATGTTCTCTTATAAGTTTCGAAGGCAAGGAGCAAAGAGGCAGGACCCTCCAGCAGCCAGAGGAGATCCTTTGGAGGGCTACACAAGGAGGAGGAGGAGGAGATGGAGAAGGAGAAGGGGTTCCTACAGGCAGGGTTCTGGCTCTCACCATTCATGAGGTCCAGGATGAAGCTGAGCTTGTCAGGTGTTTGGAAGGCATACGACATGCACACGATGAAGGGGCAATCCTGGCAGAAACATGAGGGACAAAGTCACAACAGAAAAAGGCAAAACAACCACAACTAATTACTAAGTATGTATATGCATTCATGCAAACGGTTTACCTGTTCTATG